CTTCCTGTCTATGAAGCCTCACATGCCAAGTAAAAATAACACCAAAAGAAACTTGTATGCTTTTCTCCATGAATTTGTCTTCTGTCAGCTCAAGTTGCACACCAAGTTACAGAACATAAAAGGGTGGAAGGAAGTTTTTCTTCTACAAGGTAAGGAAAAAGATCAGAGAACAATGACACTTGCTATGATGATCACAGCTGGAATTCTGGGCTGGAGTGGTGACCCTGCTCAGAATCACACTGCCACACAGGTTCATTATCTCTCCACCCCGCTAGGCCAGCCTCCAGAACTGAGTTCACATGGGGATTCTTGCTCACGTGTAATGTGATGTTTATTAACCGTTAACTTAAAGCCTTCCATTATAATGCAGTTTTTCAGATGCTGACCAGCCCTTCCTCATCTCTATTTTCTTCTTCTTCTTTTTTTTATTTTGGAGAGGTTTTTGCTATAGGGCGCATATGCTTGCTAGAAAGACAGAGAGAGACAGAGAAACAGAAAGCAAGAAGTTTCCCCGCCCCCGCCAGGGGGGATGGCCACGCCACAATCCCTTCTCCTTCATTCTCCTCTCAGGATCTTGGGCATGCACGCACACGCGCCCGGCATGAGTTTAAGCCACTGGGTCCAGGACTCGAACCGCAGTCGACTACATGGGAGTCCAGCGACCTAGCCATTACACCAACTGCTGGTCCCCCTCATCTCTACTTTCTCTTCCTTGGGGTAACTGACTTTTCTTCATCTCACTTCAACTCCATTTCTCATTTGGGAGTGTCATTCATCATGTCAGAATCTGACTCTGACCTGCAGATTCTCTCTTTGGCCAGGTTTCCCACTCCTTCTACTGACGATGTGGTACTTGTCCTCTTTGAGTACCCCCTCCCTGGATTCATCTTGCCACAGGCCATTTTATCAGTGCAGGCTGCACCCTCTCCGAGCACTTGTTTCATGAGCAAGCCCCAAACAGTGGCCCCGGGCAGGCAGCAGCACCACTCCTCTGCCTGAATACAGACATATTGGAGGTCTTGGGGTTTATCCTTCAGCCCAGGACCCTGTAGTATGCCACAGAAGGCAGATACCAGAGCCGTCCAGCTTTGCATGATCCATATCATGTTACCATGTGCTTTGCCAGCCTGCCTGTTCTGACCACCATTTTTGCTCACAGTGGCTTGGCTTGGCCAAGTCATTGGAAAGGTTAATGGCTTCCTTCTTTTCCAAGATTATGCGACAATACTCTTAAGACGAGAGATCCACTAGAAGTAGAAATGGATACCTCCAGAATTGGGGCCTCTGTCTCAAGAGGACCTTTAAGCTCACTGACTCCATGTGCTAAGTTCATCGAAATGGGCTGAGGTTTAAGGAAGAGGGTGACCACTGTGGGAACCTTTGAGTTGGACGCCATCTCAAAGTATCCATTCTATAGAAGGGGCTGAACTGGGGCTGGGACCCCTGACTGTGTTAGGCAGGAGTCCTGGAAGCAGGAGTGAAGATGTGTACTCAGTTTTACTTTCCTCTCAGTCTCCAGGGGTGGGAAAAGATCCTGGTAAAGACAGGGAACTCCAGTAGCTTGACTTGGAAACTCTTGATTCCTTCACACGTGTTTATGGTTCCCCTTGTTTCCTGAGAGTTTGCTGCCAAGAAAAACCTTCATGCATAGAGTGAGTGCATGCCTGAGAAAGAGAGAAAAGACTCTTATAATCAGCTAGCTTCATTTGCAACGTTCTGCTTTGTCTACTCATTTCTCTCATGTCTCTCTCTCTCTCTTTTCTCTAAGTCTTTATTCTTTTTCTCTCTTACTGTTTCTAACCTTGGACTCTCTTTCTTTTGTCTCCACCTTTTCCCTTTTTGGGACTCGGTTGCTCTGGCTGATTCTGTCCACAGTCAGGTCAGGGTAAACAGGAAGGGAGGTCCCATTTCATGACTTGCTTCCATCCTCCAATAAGATGTGATCCTTATGCATCTCATTTCCACTGGTTTCAAGTGTGACTCGGTAGAATCCCTGGTCCAGTGATACCCAGACTTGGGGCCTTCACGTAAGTGGCCTCTCTGCTCTCTCTGTCATCTTGTCTACATGACGGTTTTGCTCTTATTTCCCCATCTTGGTCTCTTGATCTTGGTTCTTTGTTGTCTTGATTGAGTCTCTAGCCTCAGCTTGCTTAAGGTGGTGGGGAAGACCTCTTCTCTTTCCTGCCTTTTCTCCTGGACTCTGGGAGTCCTTTCTGAGCCATGGGAACAAGCAGCATTGGAGGAGGAAGGGAGGTACCCAGGAGAGAAGGCTCACAGTAGTCATCTCATCGCTTCTCCCCTCTTCAGTCACCCCTGCTTCTCTCTCATAGATGCTCTTACTCATACTTCTTAGAAAATACAGGGACCACCAGACAGATCAGCTCTTCTTCTGACTACAAAACCCACATACCCGCCTTTCTCAGCCAACCACCCCCCTCATTTTCCTCCAGTATGGATTGAGGGAGGGAGGGTTGTTTCCTCCAACTTCCTATCAAAGGCCATTTTTTTGCTTTTGCTTTGACTCCGATTCTAATCCCCACCTCAATTCTCTTCTCTGGTACTTCTCTCTCCTGAGTTTTTCACTTGATCCCTACTGGACCTTCTGTGTCAGCATTCAGCTATCTCCAGCCTTCTCCCAAGTTAAAGTAAACACAATCTTCTCTCCTCCCCACATTTGTCATGTTGCCTGAGACCTCTCTAGTTCCTGTCAATGCCTAACTTTCTGAAAGATTTGTCTACATATGTTAACTATGCTTCTTTACTGCCTACTCTTTCTTTGCTAAATTAATTTCTGTCTTATCAAAGTAATACACGCTCATGGTTTCAAAAGCTAATTAGTATTTAAAAGCTTATGCCCCAACCATAACTGCTCTTTCCTACCACCCAAGTCTCTCTTCCCTGAGGCAACTACTTTAGATTTTTTTTTTTTAAAAAGTTTGATATATTGGAGATTTTAAACCATTTTGTCTTACATCTCTGGAGAGTCTACTGGGTTCTTTTTGTTTTGGTAACAGAGTAGTTTGCGGCTTTGACTCCTCCCTTATTTATCAACTTTAATATTTGAAGGAATGAGGTCAAGTTCCCCATTGGTGAGTAATCACTCATTCTACAGCAGGCGGATCCGATGTGGGAGTGTGTCTGCCTCACAGGAGCTTGGAGGGGGGTGTCTTCCTTCTGCTCATCCCCACATGTACTAGGGTCTGTTAGGTAACAAAGGTACCTGGGTGACCACACCCAGCACCACCAAACAGAAGTGAACGGTGGGGCTGGGTTGGGAGGGTCCAGGCATAACCTGCAGAGCTGTCTGACCAGAAAAAGAAATCGATTTTATCTCAGTTTCTGGGACCTTGTGCCAGGGAGCTGAGTCATCTTTGTCTCATCTGTGGTCCCCTATGTCTACACTCGGGTAAACAGCCTAGACTGGACGTCTTCTTGGCAGATTCTAGTGTTGCTTTTTTCTTCTTTCCTGAATTAGCTCTGCCAACATCAGAGATTTGCAGGGGAGCCCCGAGTCTTCCCACCAGCCTGAAGCTTTGGCATGACCTGTCCCCGCTTCAGCAGGCCTGCTTTCCAAACTGGCCCATGACTTACAGCCGAAGTCCTTTTGTCCTAAAGCATTCCTAAAATTTTCTTTCTCTTGTCCGTACATAGTCAAAATATTGGCATTTGAATCTCAGCAACTCTCTCCTTTCCCAAATACTCTTTCAAATGGTCTCATTGTGCTACCCAGATGGCTCCCCGCTGGCCTCAGAGCAGGAGTATAATCCCAGACTGCAAAGGCTTCTGATTGGCTGTTGCTTTTCTGCTCCCCAGGTTACCAGCTTGCCCACATTTTAGTTCTGTGTTTTAAACACATCTCCAAATCCTGCTCTCCTTTCCCTGCTACTTTAATGTCTTAGATTTCTCCAGGTTCTGGTAACATTGAGTCTAAATGCCTGGTTTCTGAGTCTGTCTTTTTCTTTAGACTTCTTTGTCTTTCCATCTGCATGGGACATAGAGCACAGTTAAAGTCCTGCCTCTTTGCCTGTGGTCTAGCTTGGGAAAAACTCTTTCTCGCTGACTGTGGAGTTCTCATCGAGTAATACCCGAGACAGTTTTAGTGATAACCAAGAAGCACATGGAAATCACTTGGCCCAAAGTGAGCACTGGAATGCTCCTCCTCCCCTCATTGTTATCTGAACTTGTCTCCTGACCTGAATTAGGAGATGTCTGCTTTTGAGAGCCCAGGTGCGGGGTCGATGAGTCAAGGAGACTGTGTGAGGGCCAGTGTGCTGACAAGATGGATTTTCCCCCTCCCTGCCATACCTCAGCAGTGCCAGCAAATAGACCCCGGCTCTGTGTAGGCTCACCCAGAGGCAGGTTTACTTTTAAAACTCACAACTTACACTTAAAAATACACTTTTCTCTTTTAGAATTGTTTGCTTAATCTTATTTATCATTATTATTATTATTTTATTTGCTACAATGCATGTGTGCTCACCAGAGAGAGACAGAAAGTGAGAAAGCAAGCCTCCAAGTCTGGGACTTGAACTGTAGTCAGCCATGTGAGAGTCCAGCACCTTAACCACCATGCTACCTGCTGGCCCCCAAAATGCATATTTCTTAACCTATTGGTCTAAGGAGGCAGGTAAAGCTTAATAAACGACATGTGTC